ACTCCATGTTGACAGTGCCTTCTTTAATTTCTTCAATTTGTAGTTGAAGATAACAAAGGGACTAGCACTGAAATCTGCTGACCAATTTTCTTTAACAACATCTTTGAATGATTCATGTTTAACCCAGAAATTAAGAAATCTAAAAGGTTTCTTAATAGGAGAAGTTTCAATATCACATTTTAATAACATTGGTCTATGGTCAGATCCTGTTTTGGACAAGTGAGTAACTTCCAAACCAGGAAAAGTCTGTTGCAATTCAGCATTCCCAAAACATCTATCAAGTCTCTTAAAGATACAATCTTCCTCAGATCTCCCATTCCACCATGTATAGATACTCCCTTTAAAGCCCAAATCTGTCAAGTTGCAGGTATTCATACAATGTCTAAAATCATCTACTTCATTGAGAGACACAAGTAATCCTCCATATTTTTCTTCCTCATCCCATATCACATTAAAATCTCCTCCTACCAACCAGGGAACACTCATATCTACAGCCATTGCATATAAAGAATCCCATAGTTCAATCCTTTCTATATGATCACATTTTGCATATACTAGAGTAAGAACCAGCTCAACATGTGTTTCAGTATGAAATAATCTAAGAGTCAGCTGCTGTGCCATATTATACAGAATATCAACTTCAAAAACTTCATCTATGAATGCCCAAATCTTATTAGAAACATTTACCACAGCTTGTGCTAACCCAATCCTTGCCCTATATCTCTCAATTTTGTTAGATTGTTGCATAGGCTCCAGAATCCCAATAAATTCAAAATGATGTTGTCTATGCATTGTAATTATTCTTTCAAAAGCTTGCTTAGTGTTCACTGACCTTACATTCCATATGATAGCATCCATTATAAATTTTGGGATTTGGACAGTGTTCTCCTAGTTTGAACTCCTCCTGCTGGTGCATTTGAAGTCTCCTTTGATTGTTCTTTCTTCCTTTAGCTGCAGCTTGGCCTGGTCAAATGTCTTGGTGATAAATCTCCTGCTTAGCTACATTAAGGAAATTTTGAGTCAGTTGACTCTTCATCCATATCTCTATCTATGTGTTCTGCTTTTTTCTGATTTTCATCTATCCCTTGAATGTGTATGACCTCCACAATATTTGCTTCATGAGTTTGATGAGCAACTTCCTTCTTTCCCTGCATATCATTGAGTTGCATCTGTACAGGAATCACTGGGACATTAATTCCTATTGCATCCTGCAACTTTTTCTTTTGCATGCCTTGTGTATATTCACTCATTTTATCTTTTGTTTTTACATTACTATTATCTGCTTGTTGGCCTGTTCCTCCTGGATCTATCATGCTAATATTGTCCACTTTGCCAAGCACTATACCATCATTATTGTCTTCACAATTCAACTGTGCTGCATTTTCCTGCAACTGTGAGCTTGACATAATAACATTGCCTGAACTCTGTACATCTGTGGATGTGAATTTACTTTTTGCCTCAGCATTTACACTTTGATCTTCCTCATCCACTTCATGTTCACCCCTCTCCTCATCACTCTGCAGTATCTCAGGGATCTGACCATCTTCATCTACTTCTTCTGTCTGGTTTGCCCATAATTTCCCTCCTATAGCTTTAGCCTTTTCAGTACTCTTAAACACCTCCAAATCTGGATCTTCTACAAATTCCTTTTTAGCATTTAAAGCCAGCTGTTCCTCCACTAAGGTGTCTTGTGAAGGGATTTCATGACATGATGTGTTTATTGCTGTTACCTTAGTATTGAATGCCCTTTGTACCCACTGACTTGTGGACTCATTATTTGCCT